AGGAAGTGATGTCATGGTAAGCGCACACAAATACACTAAACATCTTTACATCATTGGATGAATATAGATAATTGGCACATATTTTTTATGATCTCTGACAGATGGATGAATCCTGTCCAGAGCAGCCAATGGTCTCTGCTTTAGAGAGCTTGATTCAACAGCTCTGAAGACTAAAGCATCATGAAGATTGAGATTTTACTCATTAGTTTCCTGCAATGCTTTATTAAACCTGAGCCATAAAATCAACATAGTTCTATATTGTTTGTAATATTCTGGTTCAACAGTCTAGTTTCTGACTGTCATGCGGTGTAGCAGATCTGGTGGTGTTTAGAAGAATTCTGTACCGGGACAGTGCTCACGCTGTGCTGGGACTCAGGACTCGGAACATCCACAAGCACAAAACCTCATTGCTCAGCTTGATAAGAAAATCTGTGTTTATCTCAGGAGAATTTAAATGGCCTGGAGCCCAGGTACAGTTCCTGTCATGTTTATAGATAATGCTCTTTCCATTTCTCATGATCTTATTTGATAGGTTTTACTTTGATAACTGGGTGATTGATTAAAAATGTGTTATCAAATTTAGTTGCTATGTTGCTATGTGTTTTCAACCAACTCAGAATTTAAAATCATGCTCAAGACTTTTTCAAAAATTCTGCTTCTTTACACCATTAATTCCTGAAATTAACAGTCATATTTTATTCTTAGTGTGAAGTAAGGTCTGTTTGTGTGTATTTACACTGGATAGCAATTATTAAAACTAAATTGTAATTTTTACAGTTTAGAGCTGTCAGCTTACTGTAAATTGATATTGATTTTCAGAGGATCATTTTGTTTGTTATTAAATGACATTTTGAAAGCAACACATCCTTGTTTGTCCTTTAATTATTAGTTTGCAGAAGGAATAAAACTTTTCATATGCACAAATTTACAAAGTCAAACATTTAGGACGATAAACAGTTTTGTTTCAAAACGTTCCTTTTGTTTGTCTCTGCTTACTTGGGTTGTGCTGTTGTGCTGTAATTCTTACAAGAACCAGTAGAGGGCGCCACATCATATGTGCCATAAGGTCAAACCATAACGGGATTTTCACATTTAAAAATTAACATAATTCTTTTACCCATTATAAATATATATAAGGAGCACATAGACATTTTTTTCCTCAGTAAAACGTTTTACACATAAAGAAATTCATAGCACGTCTCACAAAATATCTTTGAAATCACTGACATTTACATAAGATGAATCTAATATCAGCACTCTTGTAGAAGCTTATTTGTTTTACATTGCGGCTCTCCTCATGGGGGCAGAACAGACGTTCCAGTCATATGACAAACTGAACTCTCATTTTATATTGATAATTTCCTATTATTAAACACTTTCCACTCATGGAATAAATCAGTAAAGTTTGACTATAGAAGATTTTTACAATGGCTTCGGAAAATGCTAACTTTTGCTTTTGAGTGATGCTGTATCCACAACGCTAGGTGTCAGTATCATATCATATCATATAACTGTCTACAGTAACCAAACTAAACAGCAGAAACAAACCACTCTAAAATATATGCAAATAGATAAAGAGAGGCTGATAGAAATGTATTTTGCCTATTTTATTCGAAATTAATGTTGGCACTGGTGACTTCGATTGTTTGTGACACTTTATTTTCCCTGCGCCATCATATTTGACCTAGATCAGGTAGCCTACCTATAATAAACGAACATGATAAACAAGCTCATGCTTGCAATTTGGAAATTGCTGTAACTGTCCAGCAGATGGAGCTATACACCAGTGCCTTGCTGTTCAATGTTTGTTTATCTCAAACACCATCTGATTTTTCTTTTCAGTCATAATCTGTCATTACTGTGAGAGATTACCTTTATTTTGCTATCAGGAACAGCCTAAACACCTGTAGGGCCCCTAAGAGAGAGAGAGAGAGAGAGAGAGAGAGAGAGAGAGAGAG